CTCTGCCTCAGGTTTGTGGTTGAAGATATATGTGGTCTCTCTCCAGCTGCCTGTTGCCATGCCTCCCAGCCACGATGGATTCTCTGTCTAGAACTATAAGCCCAAATCAACTTTTTTCCTTTTCTAAGTTGCCTTGGTCATGGTCCGAAGAGTAGGCAACAGAACCCCACTCCTCTTTGCTATGCTCCAATTCTTCTCTTTGAGAAAAAGGGGATTTATTCTGTGCCATTATATCTTGAAAGTATGAAATTTTCTATTTGGTTTTTCAGGAGCTTATAAGTAAGAGATTGCTTTGAGTCTCAGCAGGGACTCCACACTTGAACTTCTGAACAATGTTGCAAGTGATTAAGACTATGGAAAGTTGTGAAGTTGGACAGCGAATTTTCCATTATGAGATAGTAATAAGCCTTTGAGGACGGGGGCTGCAGAATGTTATGGTTTATATAAGAAAGGATCCCGCAGGCACAAGGAATGAACGTTTGGTCTGCTGTTGGTGCTAGTATTTTGGGAGGTTCTGAAAACTTAGCAAATGAGCCCTTGTTGGAGGAAATAGGTCACTGAGGTATAGCTTTAAAAGAGACCTGGTCCCCAGCCCTCCTTACCCTCTGCTTCCTGTCTGCCATGAGACTTAAGAACATCTTCTAACACATGCTCCTACTGTCATTATGGAATGGAGCAACTATGGATTTAACCCTCTGAAACTGTGAACCAAAATGAAACTTTTAAAATCATGCAATGGTCATTTCTGTCATTGTTGTGTCCAAATACTAGACAAAGCAACCTAAGAGAAGAAGATATGTATTTTGGCTCACATTTGCAAGGATACAATCAATCATGTAGGAAGCTTACAGGACTGGAGCATCAGGGCCCATGGCAGTAGGAACTTGCAGTATGACTTCTTTGTATCTTAGGAGCAGACAGGAAATGAAGATGGGCAGTACTTTCAAACACAAGCTCTAATGGCCTAAGCTCACCATCTAGACAACATATCCCTAAGATTCCACAGCCTCCTAAATCAGCATCAGGAGACAGGAGTCAAGTGTTCAAACACGAGCCTGTGGAGAAACCTTACATTCAAACCGTAACAAGCTGTCCACCCAGATATTTAGTCATAGGTATGCAAAAATAACCATACAGATGAGCAATCACGTGGCCCCCAGACTGTCATGCTCCCCACAATACCAGAAGTACTGGGACCAAGACCAAATGTATCCACTTGGGGAGTGCTATGGTGTGGAAGATGAATGGTCCCCACAGATCCGTAAGTAAAGGCCTGGCCCCAGGGGTGTTATTATCAGAAATGGTATAGACCCACCAAAGATGGGACATTAACAGCAGGTCCTTAAGTCACTGGAGTCATACTCCCAAAAAGGGATTGTGGAATCCTGGTCTCTCTATTCAGAACAAAGATATGACCACTGTGTGTTCTACCATGCTATGCCACCATCTGCTGCCCTCACCAGATACAAAGCCAACTTTGTTTACCCAACTTTGGCTTTGACCTCCAGAACTGTGAGTTAATAAATCTTCTCCTTATAACTTAGAGGCTTCCTGTGTGTTTTTTTTAGTAATACAAAGCCAACTAATACAGAAACCTTCAAGCTTTAAAATACATAATTACTACTTTGTCTCTAGAAATTTCAATACTGTTAATTTCTATGTGCATTACATAGCAATTATGGGATCATCTAGATCATCTCCATGAACCTTCACAAAAATCTTGTGGTGCAGGTAGGGATAAGAGAATCTTAATACTCATTTTTCAAAAGGATCTTCTTAAAGAAGCTTGTCCCAAGTTAATTGCAAAATTGAAACATCACTATAGTCAAGATTCAAAAGCTTTGCCTTTCCTTTTGACCACACTATTCACTGTAAGAATAAGTCTAGAACTTAAAGCAAAGTAACAGCCATTTAATTTACAGAAATAATATAAACCTATGAAAGTCCCTGGTGATATTATTGAAAATCTACTTAGAACCCAAATAAAAAAGTTATGGGCTAAATATACCAATATAAGCAGAGATAACCAGCCTGAAGACTATCTTTACTGATACCTACACTCCCATACTCACAGTACTCTACACATGTGAAAAACTTACCCAATAAGTTAATGCCATCGTTTACAATGAGCTGTCCATGACGTAAGTAGTTCAAAATGGGTTCAAAGTACTCAGGACTTCGGTCAATTAAGAAAGCTCCTCTATGATCTTGCTTATTTCCCCAGACACCTGTGATACCATTTTAATGAAGAAATCCCCCCATAAACAAAAATAAAGTCAGAATTTGTAGAAGAAAAAAAAAAAATCACATAATATACCATCGAGTTTTTACTCCTATAAAAATTATTTTAGGCTGGAGAGATGGCTCTGAGGTTAAGAGCACTGTCTGTTTTTCCAAAGGTCCTGAGTTCAATTCCCAGCAACCACATAGTGGCTCATAACCATCTATTATATGATCTGGTGCCCTCTTCTGGCCTGTAGTCACACATACAGGCAGAACACTATATATATAATTAATAAATAAATAACCTTTAAAAAAATTATTTTATCCCACTGCAGAGTTACAAAGTCAGCTCAGGTAAAACTGGACCACAGAAAAGTGAGACTGTGCTCTACTCACCTTTGTCCTTGAACATGTGCGCCAGCATACTGTCAGGCTCTTTATTCACTAAAGTGCTCCTAAGAATTCAGGGAAAAAAATTGATTTCTCCATGTGTCTTTATAAACAAACATATTTAAGTCAAGAGTATACTTGAGTTCAGCTGTTCTCTCAAAGAGATGCATGCTACAACCTGGTAGGAGTAATGCTGGGAAACAAAAATGTGCAGTAAGTTGCCAAAATTTCTTCTACTCTGGCAATTCCTTTGATTTAATGCTGTGTTAGTATCTTTTCATTTAAACACTAGCAAGACATTTTATACAATATTCTTGAGCTTATATTATCTGATGGCTTTAGGTTGTTTCTAGAAATATTGCTGATTTCTATGTGTAATCTGTTTATTATTATATCTAAAAAGCAAATTTTAAGGCTGAATTGATTATTTAATGCTTTCTCTGAATAAAAGGGTAACTTCATTTAAATTTTTTTCTTACAGAACTTTCTAAAACTTGTTTCATATCACATATTTTTAAGCACCATTTGAAATTCTTGTAAGGAAATCAAGGAAACAGTTATAGTCCCATCCACTCTGTTGTGCCCTTTAAGACACACACACACACACACACACACACACACACACACACACACACACACACAC